TTCAGGAACCTTCATACCATAAAAAGAATTGCAAACCACTCTCTTCTCTGCTCTTGACAAATTCCAAGGCCCTGGACGCAAGCGAGTACGTCTTTCTCCATACTCGGGTTGCAAATCAATTTTTACCCCCATGTTCAATAAGTCTAACCGAGCAGCAATCCCATCTTTATTTTTTCCAGGGATCTCTAGCAATGTACCAATGATACTATCGTGAACATTCTTTTCAATGTGCATAACATCTAGGGCATGCCTCACAGGGAGGTATTTCCAATATTCGAGATCAAAGAATTTTGATTTCTTCTTCCAACAAACTCTGTCACCATCATTCTCACCAACACTTCCCCCATTTTTCGAGCCCCATATGTAATTAATATCTTCAACCATATGCAGCACTTCTTCTCCGGTTAATGGCTCGGGAGGCATGCCATATTCAGGTTTCCCATTAAAAGTTGCGCGTTGCCTCCTATATGGATGATTGATTGGTAACCACTTTCTATGCCCAATGTAACAAATTTTGTGGCCATTTTTCAACCTGTGACTAGGTGTATCATCGCCGCATATTGGACAAGCTTTATATCCTTTAACGACACAACCAGATAGGTTTCCATATGCAGGAAAATCATTAATTGTCCACAGTAATACACCTCTGAGAGTAAAGTATTCTCCTATGTGGGCATCATACACTCCTCTAATCCCATCCCACAGAGATTTCAAATCATCAATCAAAAGCTTTAAGTAGACGTCTATATCATTTCCGGGCTATTTAGGACCGAAAATCAGTAAGGTCAACATCATGAACTTCCGCTTCATGCATAGCCATGGTGGGAGATTATATGTAACTAACATAACTGGCCAACAACTGTATCAGCTACTTAAAGAACTGTGGGGATTGAATCCATCAAATGAGAGAGTCAATCTCAAGTTTCTCGGCTCTTTACCAAACTTGGGTCATTTATCATCAAAAAGTTTCCAAGACGGGAATCCACTGGATGAGACATATGACCGTCAACTGATTTTCTTGCAGCATGCTTATAACCGTCAACTGATTTTCTTGCAGCATGCCAAGTCAAACTCTTAGCTATCTTATGTGATTGAAACATCCTTTTAAACCTTGGAATTAGAGGAAAATACCACACCACCTTCGCTGCCACACCCTCTTTCAAGAACCCATCTTTGGTTTCCTTCCACCTTGAGATACCACAAGTAGGACAATTAGTTGCATCCTCATACTCCTTCCTATACAAAATGCAGTCATTGGGACATGCGTGGATTTTCTCATAACTCATCCCTAAAGCAGACAAAGTCTTTTTTGCCTCATAAATAGAGGAAGGTAGTGTATTTCCTTATGGAAGCAAATCTCTTTGAAGTATCAATAATTCTGTAAAGCAATCATCCCATGTTTTACTTTCAAATTATATAACTTCACCAAAGCCGACAACTTCGTGTACTTACTGCAACCAGGGTACAAGGGTTCATCGCCATCCCCAATCACATTGGCAAACTCATAAGGATCAGATCCAATATTGGCAAAATCATTATCATCCATCCCTAATTCTTCAGAAACATAACTAAACCTACTTTGCTCATCTTCTTCCACATTTCTACTAGCATTGGTAGTCCATTCCCAAGGTTCTCCGTGCC